CTTGGATTTCTCTTTCCAAGACCCCTCCTCACTTATGAGGAGTCTGTTTCTCTGTGTATTTGTTTTTTTACTTTTAATAAAGTTTGTTGCCTACTATGTCTGAGATTCTTTCTGCCTTTTAAGTCTTTAATTGGCAGAAAAAATAAACCCAGTCAAGACCCCCAGACAGCGGCATTTTGGGGGGCTTGTCTGCTTTTATTTCTGTCCCACCCGCCCTGTGCTGTCTACCCTTGCTTTTGCTTTCATCTTTCAGTCATATTAACATACAGAGGCTAAGAAAAAAGAACAGGTTTATTCTACCACTTCCTGGGTTCTTTTAAATATTTGGGGTTTTTTTTTCTGTGTTTACTGTGTTCTAGATTACAGGAACGTAAATCAAATTTATAAGTGGTGAATTACAAAGAGGCTTTCCCAATCCAGATAGCCCTCTTTAGACAAAAAATTCACCAAGAGTGCTTATCGTGCTTGCTCACTATCTAGATTAAGAAATGTCATATGGAGGCTGGAGAGATGGCTCAGCAGTTAAGAATACTGGCTACTCTCCCAGAGGACACAGTGTCAGTGCCCTGTACCCACAGGATAGCTGTAAAGCAGCTGAGTTCTTTTTCTCTTCTCTGAACCTTCAAAACCTTTTACTATCTTCAGTTTTACAAAAAAAAAAGTCTTCTTTAAATTTTCATTTTATGTGTATTAGTGTTTTCCTGCATGTATGTAAGTGCACCATGTGTGTGCAATGTCCACAGATGCCAGAAGAGGGCATCAGATCCCCTGGCACTGGAGTTATAGATGGTTGTTAGCCACCATGTGGGTGCTAGGAACCAAACCCAGATCCTCTGCAAGAACAGCCATCACTCCATCACCCCCCCACTGCTTTTTTATTGAGACAAGGTCTCACTATATAGCCCAGGTTGACCTGGCTCTCATCATCCAGCCTATTGGTGTTATAGTAATGTGCTACCACATCCAGCTTAAGGTCTCTTATCTAAGTCATGCTACTAACTGAAGCAAATCCTCCCAGTTGTATACCAAACCAGATCTTTTCTTCCCTGACCATCATTTCAACACGTCTCTGTTACTTGTGCTGAGTCCCCAGCACAGTAAATGAATAAAAGATCTAACACCTTATTCCATAACTGGGAAACATCAGAACATCTGAAACAAATGATTCTAAAAGTTCCCATAGAATGGAGATAAAATTGCTCACACACAATTAAAAAGCAGAATGGTATTAAGGTTCTTAATGGCTCTTTCAGGAAAGAGTAGCAATGTCATCCACATTCCAGAGATTATTTTCAACCCTAGAATTAAAATCAGCCAATCTATAAGAATAGAGACCTTTTCAGACAGGCAAAGACTTAGAAAGTGGTAAGGCCATATGCTCCAGGAAACAGGATCAGATAGCAGGAAAGAGATGAAGAGAAGTCCCAGGAAATTGAGCAGCAGACCTAGAGACTATCAGCCACACTGAAAAAGGATGCCCCTGGTAGCAGTCTCCAAGGGCAGCAGGTGAAATGGAATCACCTGTTTACAGTGGATTTAACTACCTGGAAAATACTACTGGCAATGTTCTGATAGATATAAAAGAACAAATGAAAAACAAAGGCGGTAAATAGAAACCTTGCTGAACCAGACACGGTATTGCATGCCTGTAATCTCAGTTCTCTGGAAGTGAAGGATCAAGAGTTTGAGCACAAGTACTGGAGAGATGGCTCAGTAGTTAAAGAGCACTAACTGCTCTTCCAGAGGCCCTGGGTTCAGTTCTTAGTACCCACACGACAGCTGTTCGTAACTTTCAGGGGATCAAACACCCTCTTCTGACCTCCTGGGGCATGGCAGGCACTGACATATGTGCAGGCAAAATACTCATACATGGGGCTGGAGAGATGACTCGGCAGTTGAGAGCACTGGATGCTCTTCCAGAGGACCTGGGTTCAAATCCCAATGCCTAACAACCATCCACAACTCCAGTTCCTGGGGTTGCGACGTCATCTTCTGACCTCTGTGGGCATTGTACAACACAAGTGCACCTACCTACATGCAGGTAATACACTCATACATATAAAATAAAATCTTTTAAAAGAAATTTTAAAAACACTCATACACATAAGTTGCAAAAGAAACAACTTTTTTAAAGGTGTTTGAGCTCAGCCTGGGCTACATAGTGAGACATTTGTCACAAAATAAAATAATGCCTTTGCAGGCGAAGGATGTAGCTCAGGGGCAGAGCCCTTGCCTGACATGATCGAAAATCATCCAAAAACTGCAATTAAAAAAGCAATGCAATGGTGTCAGCAAGATGGTTCAGTAGGTAGAGGTGCATGCTACCAAACCTGAGTTTGGTAAGAGAGAACCCATTCCTACAAGTTGTCCTCTGACCACCACACAAGCACCATGACATATATACACATGATGATGATGATGATGATGATGATGATGATGATGAATGTAATTTTTTAAAAAGTTAAAGCAATGTGGGGCTGGAGAGATGGCTCAGTGGTTAAGAGCATTGGTTGTTCTTGAAGAGGACCTGGGTTCAATTCCCAGCATTCATATCGCAGCTAACAACCATCTATAAGTCCAGTTCTAGGGGATCTGATGCCCTGTTCTGACCTCTGTAGGCATTGTACTACACCAGTACACTTGCAAGTATGCAGGCAATACACTTATACACATAAAATAAAATTAAAAAATGAATTTTTTTAAATGTAAAGCAATGCAATTAAAATCCAAGGAAAGAAAAAAAATGCTACTATAGCCAGGGGTGGTAGCACATGCCTTTAATCCCAGCACTCAGGAGGCAGAGATAGAAGGATCTCTGTGAGTTCCAGACCAGCCTGGTCTACACAGTGAGTCCAGGCCAGCCAGGGCTACATACCGAATCTCTGTCCCAAAAAAACCAAAAAAAGTGAATAAACAATAATCAATATTCATACACTTAATGTAAATATAATTAATATGAAATGTGATAAAATTATACTAGAAATATGAATACAAAGAAAATGAGCAAAAAATGTGAAAATATTAATTTTTTATTTCCCATACCAGTAAGTAAATCAAGAATGTCTAAAATTGGGCTTGGTGTGGTAGCATATGCCTTTGATCACAGCACTCAGGGGGCAGAGACAAGTGGATCTCTATGAGTTCAAGGACATCCTGGTCTACATATGAGTTCTGGGCCAGCCAAAGCTACATAGTGAGACCCTGTCTCAAAAAGAAAAACGTCTAAAATTGATAAATCAAGAAATATAGTATATTATAGCTGGATGTGGTGGCACATCCCTGTAATCCTAGAACTCCAGGGTGGAGGCTAAAGAACTACAAGTTTAAGGCCAGTGTGGGCTACATAGTGAGAACCTGCCTGGGCAGTTGGGAAAGAAAAGAAGACAATGAAAAAAGGAAGGAAGGGACTGAGAAGAGAGACCAGAAGAAATAGCTAAAAGTAGAGAGTATTGGCCTGTGATGGGCAGTGGGAAGGGGGAGATGAAGGTGATGGGATTGCTGGGGGTTTTTTGTTTTTGTTTTTTGAGTTTTTTTTTTTTTTTTTGGTTCTGGGTGTTAAATCCCCCCTGTAACCAGCTGCCCTGGAACTCACTACCAGGCTGGCCTTGAACCCACAGAGATCCACCTGCCTCTGCTTCCCGAGTGCTGGGATTATAGGCGTGCGCCACCATGTCCAGCTGGGATTACTGGTTTTCATTCCAAACTTTTGAATTCGATTTGATTTGGTGGTGGTGGTGGTGGTGGTGGTGTGTGTGTGAGTCCAGGTACTTTCATGCCATGGAGCATATGTGGAGATAAGAAGATAACTTTCAGGAGTCAGTTCTCTCCTTCTACTGTGGATTCTGGAGATCAAACTCAGGTCATCAGACTTGCCTGGCCAGCGTTTCACCTGCCAAGGCATTACACTGAACAGGCTTTTGAATATTAATTGACTTTTTTAAAATATATATATATTTTTTTAGAAGAAGCATTTCATTACAGCTTTAACATACTCAATAACAATTTTCAGAGCAAAGATACATCTCTTTCAAAAGTGGCTATAAAATTTTTAGGTTATTAATTGACTTTTAAAATGTGTGAGCATGTTATTCTGATCTAAAAATCAAAAATCATAAGCCAGGTACATGCCTTTAGTCCCAGCACTCAGGAGGCAGAGGCAGGCAGACCCCTGTGAGTTCAAGGCCAGCTTGGTCAACATAGTGAGCTCCAGGCCAGCTGGAGCTACAAGGAGACTTCATCTCAAAAACACCAAAAAAAATTAAATAATTTCTTTTTTTAAAAGGAAGAAATAGGCTGGGCATGGTAGCACATGCCTTTAATCCCAGCACTCGGGAGGCAGAGGCAGGAGGATCTCTGTGAGTTCAAGGCCAGTCTGGTCTACATAGTGAGTGAAAAAAAAAAGGAAGAAATAGAAATATATTGGAAAAATAACAGCTGTTAAAAAGGAAAGATAAAAAAACCTAATATGTATCATAGATAACATAACACAGACCCATTTCCAAAAAAGAACAAGCAAACTTACTCTTCTTCAACAATCCTTGAATAAGAGTTAATCACAAAACTACTGATATGTATATATAAAGAAATGACATCAAAACAGATTAACTTGTTTTTACATGGCTCTTTAATAGGGAAAAAGAAAAGAATGGTACACTATAGAAATAGTCTCCGGAAAATATGATTATAATAGTTTACTTACAGTAGTAAACTGTATACCCAGAAAGTGAACATCTTTGCTAAGATCAAGGCAAGCAGAACATTATGAGTCCAAGGCCAGCCTGGTCTAAATAGCAAGGGCTCTGTAGCCCAACCAAGGCTACAAAGTGAGACCCTCTCTAAAATAAGAAAAAGGAAAGAAAGAATGTCTGATAAATGAGTTTAGGCAAGAAAGCTTATTGTCAGAGGCAGCCTGGGTTCAAATAACAATCACCCAGACACAAACGATTTCAGACTTGTGTTCTTCATTCCAAGAGCCACTGAATCAGCTTTCTTCAGACTGCCTAGGCTGGCTTGAGCCTGGATTTGGTCACTATGTAGTCTACCAATGATGTAGGCAAATAAGATAGAGGGATGAAGAAAAGCAGAGCATCCCAGCCAGCTGGGTATTGGGTGCACGGATGCACAGAGGTCAGGGCATGTTCCATGCAGTCAGTCACCAGGCTCAGGTTTGCACTGCACTTAGCCCTTTTTCCAAGGTGCTGCACACTGTACCAGAGAGTGAGGACAGTCAGCAATCTCATTCCTTATGCTGCAGTTTTAATATTTTGTTACATGCAGTCACAGAAGTCTATCTATGAGGTCCAAGACTCTAGTACAGACCTATGATTCCCAATATGATAACCACTAGATCATACATGAAAATTGAACTTTCACTTTTATTTCATTCTAATAAATTTTATTTTTAAAATTCAGCTCCATGACTGAAACAACATAAGGATTTGAATCTCCTTTTTAAACTGGAAATTTTTAATTCATTATTATTTGTGTGTGTGTGCACACACGCGCACACACACAATGTATGTGTGCACTTGCCACAATGCATATGTTGAAGTCAGCAGACAACTAGTGGGAGTTGATTCTCTCCTACCATATGGGTCCTGGGAACTGAATGCAGGTCGTCAGATTTGATGGTAAGCTCCTTTACCTGCTGAGCCATCTTGGTAGGCTTGCCTACTAGAAAATTTAAAACTACATGTGAGGCTCTCATTATACTTCCATTGGTCAGCACTGATCTAGATTATTCTGGTGCGTGCACAAAGATACAAACCATATCACATAGCTGTTTCAAGTTATGAGGTATATACATCCCATCTTTTATGTATAATCTTTCCAAAGTCAATTCTGAAGTCAATAGAAATTTCCAAAGTCAAAAGAAATCAGCAGGATTTCTATTGTCAAACCATCCACAAAGCGAAACGTGCTCTCATAGTGAACGGAATTCCAGTGAAAGAGAGCCTACAACAATGGCCAGCTATCTGTTATGATGGGAACTCTAGTTCCCTAATTGCCAATGATTCTAAGAAGGTCAGGCACTGTGTAAATGGCCTTTCCTTAATCCAACTTCTATCCCCTCAGCTCATAGGAACCTCAGAGGCCTATTGCACCCAGAAGAAAGGGCTCTGGGTCTAGAATTCTTTGCCTGCTCATTCCCCTTCTCCTTTCCTCTGGAAAGCAGTATTACCCAAATCCAGAAATAGGGCTGCTGTTATCTACCACAAAGCTTTATAATGCAATGCAAAGCTTTATAATGAACAACTCCCTTCAGCCTTGTCAGGTTGCTGACTGTCAGGTTGCTAATGTCTCTATGTGAAGAAAAAGTATTCTTACCCCAGGAAAGTGCATCTCACATCAGTATGTATCACTTGCTTCTACTAAGAGGATTGCCTTGCTCAGCCCACACCACCTGCATGCAACACATGCATACTCGAGCATACACACCACATACTCAGACACACAAATTTACAATCATCAGAGTGTGTTCTTACTTGAAACTGAATAATCTCACTCTGATAAGGCTTCTGTGGCCTATCCATGAGAGGTCCAGCCCTCAGCAATAGTCAATAGGCCTTGCAAACCTGGTCCTCACCCGCCAACCACTCCTTACCTACAACTTCCCTCCTATCTCAGTAAGAAACAGTTTGTTGTCAGGCCCTCTGTTACCACAAGAGTAGGCAATACTAAAGACTTCATTTTAATAAAGAAGTTATCTCATACCAGTCCTGCCAAACTAACTGCCAAACTATCAAGGGAATCCTATCCTCAAGATCCAAGGGCTCCATATGTCCAAGCAAGTAACACCTCCTGATACTCAAGTGGACAGATCTGCAAATGATAGGGCAGAGCAGGAAAATCCAAGGCCTTCGATTGCCTAAAGCCCTTTCCCCAACTGCCACCACCATAAGGAAGCCAACCATGAAGGCCCTCCTGTCCTAAAAAAGAATTTGTTTTAGGAGCTTTGCTCACAGACCTTCTTTTCTTACACGAGGTATTCTAGTTAGCTTTCTGTTGTTGTGATAAAACACTGACCAAAAAGCAACTTGGGAAGGGTTTATTTCATCAAGGGAAGCCAAGGCAGGATTAAAGCAGTAACCATGGAAAAATGCTACTTACTGACTTGCTCAGCTACTTATACAGCCCAGGCCTACCTGCCCAGGGATGGCACCACCCACTGTGAGCTGAGCAAGCCTATTATCAATTTACAATTAAGAAAATGACTCACAGACATGCCCACAGGCCAGCCTGATGGAAGAAATTCCTCAACGGAAGGTCCTTCTTCCCAGGTGACTCTAATTTTGTGTCAGGTTGATAAAAACTTAACTAGCACACAAGGGCACCCATTATCTCTATCAAAGGAAAACAGCTGTGGCTGAGGAGACCTCTTAGTAGATAAAGTGCTTGTTGTGCATTGAGTTCAGATCCCCAACACACATGCAAAAAGCCAGGCTTGGCAGCATGCATCTGTAACCTAGTGTTGGCGGAATGGAGAAGGCAGATCCCAGGGACTTGCTGGCCAGGCAATCTAGCTGAAAAAATTCACTGAGAGAACCCCATCTTAAAAAATAAGGCAGGGAGCAACAGAAAGACACCCAACGTCCACCTCTGGTCTCCACATGTGCACACATGGACAAGCCCATCTGCATCCACATGCATACCTACAAACACATACACACACACACAGAGTCATCAAAAAACTGCTGTCTGTAGGATTCCTTAAGATGCGGAGGAGTTTCTTCCCAGAGTTTCTTGCTTTTCTCCATAATTGCCTGCGTATCTGTCATTGCTGTTCTGAAACTGCCAGGCTCAATTATGCTGACTTTCACTCCAAAATCTTGAATCTCATGCCTGAAACAAAACTCCTTAGGTTAACTCCTTTGATAAAAAGACAGTGCTATTTCAATGTTCTCAGAGAGGAAACAGCATAATACAAAAAAGATAATTTTTTTAAAAAACTGCTTATTTCAAAGGCTATAAAAACAGAGAAGGATAGGCTGAAGGAATGGCTCATCGGTGATTAAGAACCAGATTCAAATCCCAGTACCTACATCCCAGGACCCATAGCCAGTTCCATAACTCCAGTTCCAGGGACTCGGATGCTCTCTTCTGTCTTCTGCAAGTACTGCATGATGCAGGTACACTTACATGCAGGCATAATACACATAAAATAAAAATAAATGAATAAGAATAACATTTTTTTTAAAAAGTAGCTGGACATGGTGTCACATGCCTTTAATCCCAGCGCTGGAGAGGCAGAAGCAGGCAGATATCTGTGAGTTTGAGGCCAGCCTGGTCTACATAGCAAGTCCAGGCTAGCTGGGGCTACAGAGAGACTGTGTCTCTAAAAAGACCAAAAATAAAATAAAAATAGACAAGAAAAACATAACAATTTAAATATTTCTAAATCTAAGTTGAAGGTGGTGGCGCCCACAGTTGATTGCACTAGGGTACGTATTTGACTGAAGGAGAACCACTCTTGGGTCTGGACGGTGGCTCTGTTATTACCTATATGAAACAGGCAAACACCTAAACTCCTCATTGTTGTTTCCTTAGATGTACAATGTAGATGAAAGTAATACCTTCTCACTGGGTTGCCATGAAAATTAAATGACTTGGGAGTTGGCAGCAAGTCCAGTGATGGAGTGTTTACCTAAGTATGTGAGGGCCCTGGATTTAAACCCCAGGAACACAATAAAAGAAGTGATTGAATAGAGGTAAAGTACTTACAATAATGCATGATTATTATTTGATTATTACACAAAATTGTGCTGGCACTGGCACATGAAAAATATGAATTCAGGACTGAGGATGTTGCTTAGTGGTCAAATTATTGTCTAGTGTACACAGGCCCTGGGTTCAATCCCCCCCTAAAAAATAATTCAACCAACAGGAATCCCCCAAGGGATTAAAACATAAGGGGATTATGAAGAAAAGGAAGCCGATTCTGGAGCAATGCAAACCTGAAATAGTGTATGAACACTAGATGGAGGCAAGCCCTTGGGGTCCATGGACGTTGAAGTTATAAGGAAGTAAATAAGCTATGGGGTAAAGAAAAAAGAGTAAAAGGAAGGAAAATTGGAACTAGTGAGAAAGAGAGTTACAAGCTTTCAGGAAGAAAAAGAAAGTCATTCTCTCCTCAGAAACAAAATTTCATAAAGGATAAATCTTGAAAATTCAAGTGTGATATAGTTAGTAGAAGACAAAGACCTCGGGTCAAAACAGTTCTGCCAAATCTTGACTGTGGTAGGTGATGATACTTTTAAATTTGAGCCTCAGATTCTATGCACTAGTTATAATATCTTTGTGTCTAGATTTTTGAACTGGGCATGTAGTACACACATGTTCCATCACTTGGGAGGTAGAAGAAAGAAGATTAGTTCTCAAGGCCAGTCTCGACTACATGACAGCAAGTTGGAGGCCAACCTGGGTTATATGAGAACCTGTGTCAAACAAACAAAAAGGACTTTGGGAGCCAGTCATGATGGTTTATGCTAGTAATCTCAGCATGCAGGAGGCCAAGACAGGATTACCTCAAGTTTGAAGCCAGCAAGGGCTATTTAGTGAGATCCAGGCCAGACTAGGTTAGAGAGTGGGAACCTATCTCAAACAACAGCAACAACAACAACAACAACAAAAAAAAAAATACCAGAAGTGACGAAGTGAGACAGGCGAAAAACACAGCGTACCACGTGTCTACAGCAGTGCAGTGTTCAGGACTTTTTAATTTTACCCTAATAGAGTTACCTTAGTATATCTGAAAATGCTTCAACTCCATACTTGGAGCAACTAGAATCCTCCTAAGAAAGCAATTCTTCCCACAACACTGGAGACATTGACAATCCTCCCCTGGGCTCTTCTTACCAGGGGAAGCATGCTCAGCATCACCTGGACCAAACCAATGAGGTTCATTTGAAGGATATTTATGAGGTCCTCAGGTTTCTGCCACTCAATGTAGACAAGTGGTTGGAAAACGCCTGCATTACTGACCAAACCCCAGAGTCCTAAAACAATAAAATTAAATCGAGTTGGATTTCAGACAAAAATAACAACTGTTTACCTTGAACAATTTCCCTGCTGATAAGAACTAAAAATGCTAGAGATAACAAAAAAATAAATCTGAGACAAAACCTCACTCCATACCCCAGGTTGACCTGAAACTAATGATCCTCCTGTTTCAACCTCCCAAGTGCTGGGATTACAAATGTGAACCACCATGTCTGGCTATACAGGAAATATATATATTTAATACTCTTATGTGTATCTATCAGGGGAAAGTTGTTCTTAAGTCAGACCAAAAACTAAGGAATGAAAGAATTCTGAGAAGATTTAAGAGAATTTGTTAGCCACTGTGAACTTGAAGTTAGTAGAGTGGGAGGGAGGGGGATTGATTTTGCCCCAACATATTCTGGACTCTAAATTCTAAGGAATGTATTCAGTCAGGAAGAAAGGAATTTTAAATGGAAGATTCCAGGAAGAATAATGAAGCAGGCATGGTATCACATGCCTGTAATCCCAACATTTAGGCAGCACAGGCAGGAAAACTGCTGTGAGTCTGAGGCCACCCTGGTCCACATAGAAGTTTTAAGCTAGTTGGAGCTACGTAGTGAGACTCAGTCTCATAAAACCAATAAGAAGAAGAAGGAAAGAAAAAATTCTGGTTGGAGACATGGCTTGGTGGATAAAGCACTTGCCAAGAAAGCCTGACAACCTGAGTTCAATCCCTGCAACCCATGTAAAGATAGAAGGAGACAACTCCATAAAGTAATCTTCTGATTACTTCATGATTACACCATGGCATTCACATGCCCAAACACATATCACACATAATAATAATAATAATAAAAATTTAAGAATAGAAGAAAAATTTATGCTTAATAAATGAAATGAGTTAAATTTTCTAGAAGAACCACTAAAGAAATAGGAATAATATATATTATTCTAAACATAGGGGAGGAAAACAGAACAAAAAATTCAGTCTGGGAAACCAAGTATGGTAGCGCAGCCTATAACTGCAACACTCAGGGGTGGCGGGGGTGGAAACAGAAGGATCTAGAGTTCAAGGTGATCCTTTGATACACAGCCAGGTTGAAGCCAGCCTGGGTTGCATGAGATTCAGTCAATGAGGGTATAGAGCATGTTCTTAGCATGTGCAAGGCCCCAGGTTTAATCTCCAGCACCAAGAACTGGAAAAAAAAATCAATTCAAAACAGGAAAGGGGAAACAGGGGAAAAAAAATAAAAAGAACAAAACAAGGGCCAGAGAGATAGGTCAGCTGGTAAAGGTGCTTGCTGCCCAAAGATACAAGCCTAACAACCTGAGTTTAATCCTTGGAATCCAAATAAAAGTAGAAGAGAACCAACTCCACAAAGTTGTCCTCTGACCAGCACACACGAGCCTCTACCTACACACACAAACACACACACACACACTGTGCTATCTAGTTTTAATTGCCAACTTGAATCACCTAGGAAGAGAGTCTCAATAAGGGATTGTCTATATTAAGTTGGCCTGTGGGCATGTCTGTGGAAGAATATTTGAATTGCCTTAATTAATGCAGGAATACCTAGACTGAAAGTGGGTGGCACTATTACCTGATTTGGGGGGTCTGGATTGTATAAGAATAGAGAAAGCTCCTACACCTCGGCCAGTTGTGACCTTCTGTGTGTATTGTACTCTTGTATGTGGAAATTTTGCTCTGTGAGTCTTCTCTGGGTAGAGGTTCTGCTGCAGATGTGTCACTTAGGGCTGGACATCTCTCAGACACATAGTCTCTGTGTGTGACCAGTTGTGAAACTCTGTAATAGTCTCTATCTCTTGCAAAAAAAAAGCTTATTTGTGGGCCATGGTGGTGCACGCCTTTAGTCTCAGCACTCTGGATGCAGAGGCAGGCAGACCTCTATGAGTTCAAGGCCACCCTGGTCTACATAGTGAGTTCCAGGCCAGCTGAGGCTACAGGGAGACCCTGTCTCAAAAAAGTCCAAAAGAAAAAATTTTTAAAAAGCTTATTTGAGGTCTGGAGAGATGACTCAGTGGTTAAGAGCACTGACTGTTCTTCCACAGGCCCTGAGTTAGGTTCCCAGCACCCACATGGTGGCTAACAGTCTGTTTCCTGCTGTCTGTCAGCCAACGTTGCCCTCCCTCCAACCTATAGCCCAAATAGTTCACCTGCTGTAGGCAGATCTGGGCTTTCTTTGCTGAGGCCCGGTATCCAAGTTCCCCCAGTCTCAGTAGGAGAGCCTCCGTACCTTGCAGACAGCCAGCTTCTGTCTCAGCTGCTAAGAGGAGGTCATCCACATATTGAAGAAGCATAATCTGTGGGTTTCTTACCCGAAAATCAGCCAAATCACGGTGTAGAGCTTCATCAAACAGAGTGGGGGAGTTCTTGAATCCTTGGGGAAGCCACGTCCAGGTTAGTTGTCCCGATATTCCAGCTTCAGGGTCCTTCCATTCAAAGGCAAAGATGGGCTGGCTAACTGGGCTCAGCCTTAGGCAGAAGAACGCATCCTTCAGGTCAAGTACAGTATACCACCTATGACTAGGAGGTAAAGAACTCAGAAGATTATAGGGATTAGGAACAGTGGGATGGATGTCTTTTATCCTCCGATTGACTTCTCTTAAGTCTTGAACTGGTCTATAATCATCTGTCCCTGTCTTTTTTTACGGGGAGTAGCGGGGTGTTCCAAGGGGATTGGCAAGGGTGAAGTATGCCCATTTGTAAAAGTCTTTGGATGTGGGGCCTGATTTCCTTTCGGGCCTCTTTGTTCATAGGGTATTGTTTGATTGAAACCGGAGTTGCAGATGGTTTTAGTGTAACCACTATTGGAGGCTGGTTGTATGCTAGTCCTGGGCCTCCTGTCTTGGCCCATGCCGAGGGGGTTTTACTTAGCCAATCAGATATACCAGATATCCTGCTATTGGTCCCTCATATAACCGATGTTTATCTTTTAGCCGCAAGGTTAATACCTGTAGTGGAGCTCCATCTTTTCCTTTTACAGTAGCTCCCTTTGTAGTGAAATGGATGTGGCTTCTTTGGGCATTCTCGAGCCCAATGTCCTCTCTCCTTGCAGTAAGCACATTGATCTTTGTCCACTCGAGGTCTTCTTTTATCTCCCAGGTCTCTACCTGGTCCTGTTCCCTGAACTACTGTGGCCAAAATTTGACTCAACTCTTTGTTTCTCTTTTTCTCTCTCTTATCTTTTCTGGCTTCCTGTTCTTTTCTAATTCTGTCCTCTCTTTCCTCTGAGGTCTCTCGCTTATTGTAGATTTTCTCAGCTTCTCTTACTAAGTCCTGTAAAGAGTACCCCTGAAGGCCCTCCAGCCTTTGGAGCTTACCACGGATATCAGGAGCTGATTGTCCTATAAAGGCCATAATAAGATCCGCCTGACGCTCCTGGGCTGTGGGGTCAAAAGGGGTATACATCCGATATCCCTCTATCAGACATTCTAAAAATCCTGCGGGAGTTTCATTTTCTCCCTGGGTTATAGCATGTACCTTTGCCAAATTGGTTGGGTGCCTTCCGGCCCCTTTGAGGCCCGCTAACAGAGTCTGGCGATAAAGATGGAGACGCTCCCTACTGGCCACGGTTTCAGGGTCCCAGTTGGGTCTGGTCAGAGGAAATCCTGTGTCTATTTCATTTGGGAGCAGAGTGGGTCTCCCATCCTGCCCGGGGACATTTTTCCGGGCCTCCAGGATGACTCGCTGTCTTTCTTCTGTGGTTAGAAGGGCCTGGAGGAGTTGCTGACAATCCTCCCAGGTGGGTTAGTGGGTGAGGAGAATAGACTCTATTAAAACAGTTTGAGCTTGAGGATCCTGAGAAAAAGAGGGGTTATGAGTCTTCTAATTATACAAGTTAGAGGCTGAAATAGGCCAGTACTGGATCTGATCTCCTATAGTTCGGAGGGGAAAAACCTGGGCAGTCCAGGTTCCATCAGAGGGGCCCCCCATCCCTCCTTAAGCGGAGTCTGTTAAAGGAGGGGGTTTGTCAGGTTTATCAAGGAGGGTTAGGGAAGCTTGGTCCTCAGGGAGGACTGGCTTTTGCTTCTTCTTCTCAGGGGCAGACTGAAGGGGCAGGAGGGAAGAAGTAAGACTCAGGGGAGCAGAAGGGACAGGAGGCCCCTGGTCAGTCTCTTCAGTTCCCCTAGGAGGTAGGAACAGCTGTGCCCAAGATGTGGCGTTCCGGGCCAAGTCTTCCCAGGTG